AAAAAAATCAATCTAAAGCGACCATGTACAATGCTCATATTTTATGGACCAAATCGCATGTTGAGTAAGCCGCTTAAAAAATAAAGTACGAAAATAGCCCCATAAGAAATCTAACAAGAAACCCAAGTGATTAATTCTTTCTCCTGCAATGAACCAGAAATTGTCAATAGCAAATTTAGGGGAAGCGAAACCAGCAAGCTACTGAAGAATTTATCCTGGAAGCCGGGCGGGATAATTTGCCGACTCTGTGGCAGTGATAGAACGGAGGTGAAGAAATTGTTTGATCTCTCTAATTAGAAGATGCCTTTTGTGGAGGGATTTCAGTTAGAAACTTTTCATAATTGCCCATCCTTAATGGGCTGCGTCTATTGACTTTACAAATCTGATTGATTGCTTTCTAATAGAAAAAGTATTGTACAGAAATGAGTTCTGATTAATATTGGAGTTATCTGCTCTTATCCAAGCAATGTACAAATGAATAGCGCAAATATTCAAATATGAATACAAAACATTCATGTCCATTTCTTCTTCACAGTATCAGCATGTGGTAATTATTGTGGAAGAAACAAAATAAAGTTTTCCCTTTTTCTGAATAGAACAATGTTCATACCTAACCAAGAAAGAATGAGGATGAACATTAAGTAGACATAACTTTTGTCATAGCTTCAGCTATTTTCCATAAGATATGCTAAACTGTTTGCTCCCCCCCCTCCAAAAAAAAAAAAATTAATAAGACATTTCAGTCTAAGTATATGTAAATGACACTGCGGACAACAAATTTCTGAGAAAATATATTTTTTCATTTAACTTTGAAAATGGAGACCTTATTGTCTTAGGGCAGGGGATTTTCCTCACCTTGTACACCCACACTCTTTCTTCCTTTAGAGATAAAAAATTATGATGCTCTTTCTTAAGGTATGGTTTTTAAACTATTTTTGCATATGAGACAAAATCAAATACTGTATATATAGGGAAATTTTTGCCCCCGTTTTATTTTCGCCCTTACCTCACGAGGGCGAATTTAAAACAGGGCGAATTAAAAAATATCATATAATTTCTTAAACAAAACTACAATTGGGCAAATTTAAAACGGGGCAAATTTGTTTTACAGTGTGAAGGGCGAAAATAACACCGGGCGAAAATAAACCTGTATACAGTATATTGGATAATGCAGTAACAGACCCAAAGCACAGGATGCAATGATTACATCATAAATGCATTCTGACAATCTTATTTTACAACCATTCTCAAGTTCCCACTCATTTCCAGAAGTCAAATAGCCAATACACAATTCCTGTTTATTCCATTAATACCTTTAGATGTCAATACAACCATTAGATTTTGACACCTTTATTTTTGTGCAATGCTCACTGCACTGGAAAATGCCACAATTTAAATGTATGAGCCACTTCCCATCTGCTGTGAAGGATCAGTGCTAATGAAGCCTCAACACTGGCCCATAAACACCCATGATTGTACAGAACTTCCTAATGACTGTAAATGACCCTATAAAACCCTGAGCATGAAATAGATTCCCCGGACATTATGTCTTAATTCCAAATGGCATTGACAGTAACCTGAGCAGTCCTGTCAGACCAATTTTTTCCATGGTAAATCACCTTCTTGGATCCACCCTCCTGGTTGTCAGGGTGATATATGGTTCTCTCCCCTTGCTTCCAGAGAAAGAACTTTAATCTTGATAAAAGTGTTCCCATATATTCCTCACATTTCAGGCTTAAGCCTAAAGGATGCCTGTGATTAATGTCATTAGGAGACAAAATAATTACTCTGTGGCTGGAATTAACGAAAAATTTATGGTTTTTCTTGTACTGCATCCAGAAACACCCTTCCCATGTTAGGATACCTTTTTATAAAAGAATGAATTGCAAATGCAGGTATATTTCCATTAGGTTACAAACCTAAGTCTAAAATTTTGCATTTTCATACATTTTTTTTCTTCAAGTTTTATAACTATGGAGGTGATATATCAAAGGTATTTTATGGTATATTAAGATATATTGCTTATATAAAGTAGAAAAAAGGTAAAAATCCTAAAAAAAATCCTTTGTACATTGGAATTTTAAAATTATGATGCATTTAAGGTACAATTATAAACATAAAACTTATAAAGAAGACTTATGATAAAAGAAGTTATAAAATCTCTTGAAATTCTACTCCTATCCAGATTCTTCTTTACGACTATAAAACAATTAAGCTTCTCAATTTAGGACAACAATTTTTTGATCATCACTAAACAAAACATACCTGTATGCGACATCAAAACAGTCTTGTTAAAAAAGAAAAATGTTCAATCTTAATGGCAGAAATTAATGATTTTGGCAATGCAAGATGCTACTTGAAAATCAAAATAAAGAGGAAATGAGAAGTTTCGGAAGCAGGAAGCTACAAAGAGACTCAAAGTACACCAGAAGACTATCAGAGATGACATGAAGTTTAATCCTAAAATTACCATTTCCCTCTGATTTTACCAAACAGATTATACAGTTTATAATTAGAACTTTTGACCCATTTTGTGGTGAACCAGATTTAACATATTCCTCGACATTACATTCATAGGAGACCTATAAGAACAGTTAATATCTATGAAACAAAAAAAATCTTGAAATTAAAATTTGGGACTTTTGAATTTTATTTTATAATGCAGTGAAATTGAGGATGTGTATTTTTTGTCTTCTATTTCACCACTTGACAATTTAAGCTTTTTAAATTTTTTTTTTTTTGACAAATGAGGAAGTTCTCTGCCAAACCGATAATATTTCACTTTGATCAGTTCAGGTCCGATTAAATTTCAAAGAATGCGGAACTGTTTTTTTTTTAACAATACAATTTCAGATAAAAGTTCTTTGATATAGAATAATTTTACTTCTACATGGCTTACACCACCTGAAAAAGATTTCATGAAGAGATATTGTTTGAAAATGGAGTTCTTTTACAATTCAATATGTATTGTCACATAATCCTATCTCTGTTTAATAAAGCAATATGTTTAGCAGACAGAAAAAGTCTCTGAAAAAGTCAACTAGTCATCCTAAATTTAATGACTAACCTAGCTAGGCTCAATAAAAGCATCTATTTATGAAGTATCTGCAGATGTACCACTTCTGCAAAGGTTGGTTTAGATATACCTTTTGAGAGAAGACAAAGAGTAATCTAAAAGCTGAGCTATACCTGAATATAGAGCTATACTACAGACAGACACACAGTGATTCCACACACACACATCCTTCCTAACCCCCCCCCCCCTTTTTTTTTTTACTTCACTGTGTACAGTATACTTTGGGATATTTTCACAACTTTGCTGTTTTCTTTTTAAATTTTTTTTTTTTTTGCTTCTGTTTTTGTAAAAATTGCTGGCAGCACAAGAAAGCAACAAAGAGCTGAATTCAACTCATAGGCAACAGTGACTCTTTTTAACTCTTTGCACTTCCATCTGCAATCTGACTATATCAAGGTTGTTCCATCGTTAACTTACCAAAGAAATTCATTGTATATTGACTTCAGGTGACTAAAAATCTCCTGGCCATTCAATTCACTTTTCTTTGCTTAGGAGACAATATTCACCTTGGCATGCCCTGTGCCCTAAAACTGGATTTTTCGAAATAATTTCTTTTAACTTATGTGCAAATATTTTTAGCCATTGAATTTTGCTATTACAGTACAACATGCTTATAACAAAGTGCCATAGATGGACAATTTTGCTTCTTTATTAGCATAACTCTTTCAACACTGTTTTTTAAAGCGATATGCGATTAACTTGGGACATCACTAAACATTTCACCTTCCGTCACAAAAAATACTATAACTTCTTTAATTCATATATTTTATAACACATTTCAAAGGTGTTTTCTTTTCTATTGATATAAATTTTATATATATACAAAATTATTTATCAAAAAAACACTAATAAAATTCATAATTACATTTTAGAACGGACAGTAATAATTCAATAAATTTGCTGCTATGTTTCAAAAAAATTTCTCTTTGTATTTTGTAAAAAGAAATTATTTCCGAAAAATGATATGCAATATGTTTTATCCAAGTCCAAATTATATAATCAATAAAACGGGGTGTTTAATTCGGAAAAAGTCAAAAAATAATCTCTTGAGCCTTGATATTCCGAAATTCCCACAAAATTTCACAACATTGTTAATAACTCATGTATTTGTTGTCTAAAACATTTATAATGTCTAATTCCCTCATTTTATTAAATCTTTCATCGCCATACGTATTGGAAGTTTTCTTTTCGTTTACCGCCATTTTGCTTTCTTCTTCGTTTTCTTTACTAATCATCTAATTTTCCTTATTTTTTCGTAGTTTTCGCCATGTGGGCCGCCATTTTTATTAACGGATATATTACATCATTCTACCCATAATTCATAGCAGATTTTGCAAGAACACTTTCTATTTCTATAAACGTTTGACTTTCAAGTGCCATGTATCGATGGGTAATTTTATCAGACCGATGTATCGGTCTACAGTGTTGAAAGGGATAATTCCTCCTATCCTTTCAGTGTTCAATATATTTCGATGTCAAGGGAAACAGAAACCACTTCGCTGTAAGCATCCATTCATTATAAGCGAGTTCACTATAAGCGTGTTTTACTGTATTGAATTCCAGACTTACTTTCCCCATCTTCTGGGCACTCCATATCAGTGTGTTCACTATAATCGTGTTTTACTGTACAGTATTGAGTTCCAGACTTACTTTCCACATCTTCTGGGCACTACACATGAGTGTGTTCACTATAATTGTGTTTTACTGTATTGAGTCCCAGACTTCTTTTTAAATTTATTTTTTAACACAATTCATTCTGGGCACTACACATGAGTGTGTTCACTATAATTGTGTTTTACTGTATTGAGTCCCAGACTTCTTTTTAAATTTATTTTTTAACACAATTCATTTCAGAGAGAGAGAGAGGAGAAGAGAAGAGAGAGAGAGTTATAGGAAAAGTTGATTCCACCTGTCCCAGACTTACTTTCTCCATCTTCTGGGCACTCCTCCAGGTGAATCAGTCCCCCATCTTCTACCTTGATGTTGCTGGTGTCAATGATGACCGTCGTAGTCTCACACATTTCACTCTCTCCATTGTTCTTACCATCCTCTGAAAATATCCAAAGAAACTTTAAGTAATTTCACACATTAAAAGAACAATCCAAATGGCCTCAGCACTTACACTGCCAGCAGCATAGTGTAAAAAAAATGTTATATGATGAAAGTCCAATAATTTCTTTCTTATTCAAACTTAGCTTCTAAAATTTAAATTTGTTTTTATTGTTATTTTTAAAATTTCATAAGTATTAATAAGTAGCCAATAAAAATGCTTACTACCTATTAAGGATATATTGAACTGATTTGGAAGCTAGTCCCAACGTTTTTTTTTAGACGTTTTAACATGAATATCTCAAATTCTCAGATACTTGTCTTTCCATTGATTCCATTGAGTTCAAGAGTACAAGGATTGACTGTATGTGGTAGCAATACATATTTTACAAAAGGAAAAAAAAGGGAGATTAATTCTGACTACTTTACAGAAACAAATTTAGAACAAACTTAGTGGTGGAGAATAAAGTCTTATGACAAACACATAACTGGCCTTATTACTGTTTTGAGCATGACAGGGTCTTATAACAGGAAATGGATTTAATACGATTGATAAAACTGGATGGGTTGATTTTGATTGGTAATATGTAAGAGGACAACATGAAAGATTAAAGAAGAAATTGAATGGACAAACTGGTGAATGATATTCATTGAAAACCCAATTTCTCGGCAAAGAAATGATGAAAATTTGACTTTATTACTCGGCATTGTCAACATTAAAATCACAGAATGTACAAAAATTCTTCTCTATTGCACAAATGGGATATCAATGGGAATTGGTATTTGGTTATTGGAATTTATAGAATTCCTTCAAATTAAGAAATGTCAATCAAATACTAGTATTTGGAAAAAGTCATTACTCAAATGAGAATTCTCAGCAGAGATTTTATTAGATATATGTAAAAAATGCAATGTTCTCAATTTCATCTGTAAAATAACATACAGCAAAAGAAGGATCCAGTGAACATATACACTTATTATATTTGTTCTAAATCGCTTGAAACAAATTGATTTTCATTCCTTGGATTTTAGAATGTACTATAGAATTAGATCTACTGTTCAAAACAAAATTACAATTATAACAGATCAAATCTTTTCACCCTAGCAATTAAGAAGTGTGTTTTATGCAGTGTACAATTTTAAATGTATCTTAGAATGCAATGGCATCAAAAGTATCCTTAACTCGCTAATGAGACATCCTTCAAGGTCAAGAAACATTATTCTTTGAGCTTTGCATGATTTTTTGCTCTCAAGATCCCCATACCATTTGTCAACACACCATTTAAGCAAAGTATCAAATTTTAAAATAATGGCTAAATCTGCAAACAAGACAGACAATATCATGCATATTTTGTCTTAAATGAAGACTTTAGTTTCACATCAAGAAATCAGAATTATGTCACTAGAGGTAAAAAAAAATACGGAATGGACTTCGGGGATATATTGTGCTGCAAAGTTACATTTGCTCCTGTTATTCAGTGCAATGTGACACAACACAGCTGTCACACTATGCACTGGCTTTAATAGTGTGGTTGTTAAAGCTTGCCTGCAGTGACAAAGACAGAAGCTAATCAGAACAACTTACACACACAACTATTTCACAGCAGTGCAATATAGAAACAGGTGTTCATGAAAAATCTGTGTTAAAACATGTTTAAAAATAGCACATTTTTTTTTGACATTACGGCCAGTTATTTTGTATCAAACAAGACAAATATAGAAACAAGAGGTCCATGGGTCACACTGCTTACCTTAGTAAGCTTTGGTCGTGCTGTTCTTTACCATATTTCCCCTATTGCAATACCTATTGTGACCCCAACTGACCACCAGGGGTCATGATTTGGACAATATAGAATCTACACTATCCCAGAATGCTTCAATGTAAGTTTCAGCTTTTCTGGCTTGGTGGTTCTTGATAGGAAGGTTTTTTTAATGACCCAAGCCAATTTTTGTCTTTTCTTGATTATCTATGCTTGTAAGGGGACTTGGCTTTAATTTGTTTAATAAAACTCCCCTTCACCCATGGATGCTTTGTACCAACATTAGTTAAAATTGGCCCAGTGATTCTTGAGAAGAAGTTTAAAATGTGAAAAGTTTACAGACAGACGGACAGACAGATGGACAACCTACTCTCATGCCATAGTCTGGAGTCTGCATACAGCTCTCTCCTACCCGTGACTGCTTGATCACAAAAAGTGTTGTTATATTGAATATTTGTTCCTCTATATTGTGACGTCATATTCAGCCAGTGACATTTTTTTGTTTCCATCGCAATTGAAATCAACAATTGATATCAACAGTATACAAGAAGTATCTTGTACACTGTGATTGCATGGGTGTTGAAAGGTTGCATCAGTTTATTATCTGACTATGCTTTACTCGCATTGGTCAATATTTTAATGATTGAGCTACGAAATATTCTCTTCACATTCAACCACAACCTGAATGGGAGAGGATCATACATTTTGGCCGTGGTTTGCAAAGATGATGGACAACGGGTGATCAGAAAATTTCATTTAACTTTCAGCTCAGGCAAGCTAAAAATGACATTATGGATATGAACAGTTGTTGAGAATTAGACTTTCAAAGATTTTTCCTTGTATCTATTCCAACTTTGATTGTCCATTGTAGTCCAATCCTATATTTCCCATGAGGTCATTTCTATGACTGGAGAGCTCATTAGATTTTCACAAATCTCAATCTAAACATTTTAATTTCCTGGGGATGATACCTTACAGATTTTATATGATTGATCAATGCTTTGCTTTTCTTGAGGAGATTTTAAAAAGATATTTCCGTTACCTTTGAACCCCTTTTGTGACCCACAGTCCTACCCTGGGGTTCATGATTTGTAAATGCAACCTTGGATCATTCTACCTGCATGAGGATGGTTCTTGTTTTCGAAGAGCCATTTCACTTTATACTTAACATGGGGAAAATATGGAATATATAATATATTGGACTGCTACTATAAAAGCTGCAATGTTCAATTGTTGGAAGTATTATAGAGGGAAACAAAGTGAATTTACCATGATTTAGTTTACTATGAAGTTCACAAAATACATCTTGCCTTATTTGGAGAATAACCATTTGAAAATAACCAACCAATGAGTGTTATGCTCAAAACTTAAGAATACCTTATAATAAACTTATACTCTGAAATTACTAAAACTCAAACGAGTTCCTTGAACAATAAAACAGCAATTTCTATGATCCAGAGCGAGGCACAACGTCCGTCAAACATCCTAAAATTAATTTTTTTACCAAAACGTTATTTAATTACGAGGCCTTAAATGTGTCTGAATTTCACTGTGGTGTGATAAATGTGAATTAACACGATCTTCGGAGAAATCTAACAGTAAAACTAATAAGGGCAGATTGTTTTCTACCACCCAAGGCCTTTGCTTCTGCGTCACTTTGCCGGAAAACTTCCATCCTTCCAGGGGCATCATGGGAAAGTCAGCACACCGACATGTTCTAATAACACTTTAATTGCCAACAACGATTGATTCTTCATTCCAAATATATCATCACAAATTTGTTAATTGAAGATTTATTGCCGCAATCAAGCCAAAATTTTCAATCTAATGCCATTGGTTCTCAATTAATGAAGTTCCTAAATTCTGAAGATTTGAAATGAATCAATATGTGTAGGATTTTCTTGGCTGCCTTTATCAAAGTTGCAAATTTTCATCAGCCTGGTTTGTGCCATATCATCCAAAAGAAACATCTTGATTCAGATGTAAGAGATTTATTAGAAAGTTAATATATGAATTCTTAAGAACTAATACAATCAGGGATAATTAATATTGGGAGCCCAACACTGGATTTTGTTTTAATAAATAAAGTAATGCGATATAATATTGCAATCTAATCCTGCATGGTCATTTCATGTCGTGCGAATTTCATCTTCTAATTAAACCATAATAAAGTGTAAGATTTTGTATATATTATGCATGAGCTTTCATTACACCTTAGATCTATGGATACCACTGATATTATTTGTGTAATAATTAATTTTGAATACTGTCTATACACAAAATAAGGTGTTGAAAAATCTTTGCCTCACAAATTATTTGAACACTCAATACATTGACCAATCAGAAAACTTTGCATGCCGAGTGTTATAGAAGACAACTCATTGCAGAAATATATCATTTATGTTCATAAACCACTTAAAAATGATTAAATCAAAATTATAACATGGGCATGAGGATATTTCATAATATATATCAAACTTTGTTACATATCTCTCCATCTGTTTTTATTTCTTTCTCTTCATCTGCACCCCAAATCATTACTGGTACTTGAACATTGTGTCATCAGAACTCTACATTATGTCATCACACCAATCAAACATATGATTGGTGGTCAGAATCCAGCATTTGTCATTGGAAATTTGGAAAGCAGCTTTATCATACATAGCATCACAGCTTATCATTCTTTAGTATAAATCATATAGTACATATACAGTAAAACTTGTCTAATCCAAATTCTGTGTAATCCAGAATGTCTGTTCTAACAGAATGTCAATTTCTATGTTACCAGTAGTGTCTAGAAAAGATGTTTTACTGTGCATGTACATTGTACTTATATACTTTTTCACCTACAAGATTGTACTGATATATAAACTATTCCACAAAAAATCATTACATATTGTATCAGTTAAATTACTTTCAAGCAGAGTAAGCCTGCAAGTTTGAAGAACTTCAACATTCCATTTTTTTGTCATGCCAAGTTTCGTTGAAATTTTATCAATTTAACCCTCCACTGAGGTTTTAAATCATATAAATAAAGCTTTGCCTTTGTGAACTTCCAAAATTCCATCATTGTCAATTATGCATTTTTGAAAAATCTTTCCATTTCAATTCAAAATAAATACATCTATTTAATTAATTAAAAAAAAGTAATACTATTGATTGGTCATAACAAGATGCATTACCCAAATGAAGGACCATCAATGACGAACAAGCACCCGATTTAAAATTCTAATTGTATAACCGAAGTGGCCAACTTATGGATTTTCAAAGTTCAAAAGCATTTAGACAAAGGAAAGTGTCAATCACTTCATTATTGCATTGTTTTTCACTTAGCTAAGCCCATTGTCAAATTAAATGCCGATACCATCTGAGTATCTGCAGTTATATCAAATCGTCATTTTTATATGCAAGCCAAAGGGAATATTTCGAACATTATAAAACACTCAACTGTAAAAACCATCCCATCCCCGTAGCAGTTTATTACACCTTGTTTTATCATGTGATTTGGTAACGATTCATTGTGTTAAAATGATCACATCAAACATGAATTAATACTTTAAAGCCTTGATGGGTGGCCATTTTTCTGAGTTTAAACAGCACAAGTTTCTTACAATATCATTAGACAAAAGTCTAAAATGCAGTAATCAATCAAGTAAAATGAGGAATCTGAATATCTAAGATGATACATGTATTGCCCATAACTGAAAGTCAAATAAGGAATTTAATTAAGATATGGTAATTATAAAAAAAAAAAATTGTAAAAGAAAAACAGTCACGTACAAAATTTCATCTACCTAAGTAATTTAAAGATCAAATTTCAACAGGCATCTCACCATTTTGACTTATGGGTAGGTTGAAATTAATGATTTTATGACAAGAGATATTTACATTTTAAAAACTGTATTTTAATTTATTTCACGTTTTTGACATTTGGAAGTGTTTTTTTCATATAAACAAAACTTAATAAATTAAGACTTTCAAACCCCATATTGTTTCACTTGTAAAATAAATAGGACAGCATTACTAACAAGAGTTTTTTTTTTTTACAAATTAACTAAATGTAATGCATGAAAAATGTGACTGACAAATAAAACCAGTGTTTGTGTGTCCCTCATATGTCACTGTGTCATGCATCTTTTAAGGATTACAAAAACAAGTGTGAAAAAATATGCAGTATATACCATTATGTACAAGCCAACATCTGTCATGTCAATGTGTTATAAAAAAAAAATTTCAAAACATTACGTCAAATACACTGGATTATTTTGTGACAACTAAGGCATTCTTTTGCAATGAAATCAACTTAAAAGTCGCAAAAAAATCAGAAAAAATGAAAAATCTGAAGTGGCACTTACAAATTTACGACTTTCAAAAAGCAATAAATGTTCAAAATTTTATCAGTACCGATATAAAATTCATTTAAATGAGAGAAAAAAATTCATACTGACTTAATGCTAGCATTTTTATGTTTTTAAAAAAGTCCTCAAATAACAGTTTCTTTTTATATTCTATTTCTCATTCAAAATATTTTAGGCACTTTTAAAAAAAGTTATTTTAAGGAAACAATGGGATCATTTTGAGATGATAATCTAGATATAGATTACTAAAAACTGCCATTTCTAGCCAGGTTAAACTGAGCCGTTATGATTTAGGTCCTAATTTCTGATTTTTCTATTGGTACCTTTTCCACCTACATCTATAATTATTCACCCATTAGCGACCAACTTCTGGTATTTAAAGCAAATCAAACTGTCAACTTCTGCTGCAGTATGGGGTCGTTGCAACGTTTTATGCACACAGGGCTTAAAATGCAATTCTGCCTTAAAAACTTACAAGTTAGCTTTTAAATAAACCAAATCTCTACTTACGGATATTCACATGCAGTACATCCATGGTTTTTGCAAATTTTTTTAGCCTCTGGGAAAATTTTCTATGTATTTCGAAGTCCTGAAATTTGTGGCTCATTTACACCCATTTATCACCAAATAGTAATCCATTTCAATTGGTCGACTAAAGGTCTTCTTCACTGTACAGATTATCTCGGTCCTCAAAATTAACCGCCAAATAATTTTTTTTTAAACCCAAGTTATTTTCAGAGTCAGAATAGCATCATTGCCTTCGAAATCTGACTATAGGTGTTAGTGTGGGTAATCAGTTTGTTAACCAATCATTAACACCTATTTAAGCGTCATATTGTTCGTACAGATTGCCATCAAATTTCACTGTTGGCCTGAAGCAGTCAGAAAGGTGTCCAATCATACCTGCTGCCTCACCGGTCACATTGCCTCTTTGGTTCTTATTGATTATGCAGATGAGGTATTTTTTTCTCCCTCCGATTTTGTGAAGGGTAATCATTTAGTAATGATGTGTCAAAATAAGCCTTCATCATTCATAGGCCTGCATAGCTAACATTCTTGTTGATAAATGACATTAATATGTTAAACCAATAGTTTTTCCCCATGTCATATGTTGTAATTTTTCCTTTACTATTTAAGATGGCATACACACCTTTTATAATGAGAAAAAAAAATCCAATTTGTATAAGTAAGTTTACAACACAATTATGAACCTATACCAAAACATTCACGAGGTTGAAGAACAAACAAGATCTGCATGTTTAAATGGGACAAATATCATTTGCAGGTGGTATGTAACGGGGAGTCATGCATCAATTTTATTATAATTGAAATGGGCAGGTTTTTCTCAAGATTGGAATCATATCTAGTAAATTGTACAAGAATTAATGAATATTTGCCATTACTTTCATCCATGAAATATAACACAATTGCCCTTCTTATGCCCAATAGTTTTCACCCTGTCCATCTGTCTGTCTAGCTGTTTGTCTGTTAATTTGTTTGTCCGCAAAGTCTTGAACCTTTCCCATAACTTTTGATTGGTTGAAGCTATGGCTTTAATATTTCCTATGTATATTCCTTGTGACAATATCTTCGTTGAGTACAAATATGTTTTATCTCTTGACCTTGGACCAACTTTTGCAAAAGAATTATAAAACTTTTACCTTGGCCATAACTTTTGTTCAGTTGGAGCTAGGGCTTTCATACTTCATAGCTGTGTTTATTTTGACAATTCGTTTCTTCTTTAGGTTTAAATATTTTGACCTTTTGACCCTGTTCTTTGAGTTTGACCTAATTTCAAATAACATTAACCTTTTCCATAATTTTTTAACAATTAGAATGATACAGCTAGGTCTTTTATATTTAAAGGTTTCTTCCTTGTAACAAGACATTCCTCTGAATACCAACAATTTTGACCTTTTGATTTTGGTGTTTGACCTATTTAAGAAATTTTTTTTTAAAAAGTGTGGCAATAACTTTTGAACAGTTGGAGCTAGGAACTTTATATTTCAAATGTATATTTCTTGTGACAATAGTCCTTCCCCTGGGTATCAATGAATTTGACCCTTTGACCCTGACTTCAGACTTTTGACCTTAATTTGAAAAAAAATTAATTTATGCCATTTATACTTTTGAACAATTGGTGCTTGTACATCCATATTTCACAGCATTTCACTGGGACAAGTCCTTTTTGATCTTTTTTGACCTTAAAACGTAACTTGCATTTGAAAAACTTTAACCTTTGTCAAGGGCTGCCCATCGGGAACATCAGTGTTTAACTAACAAACATATCTTGTTCCTTTTTAAATTCCTTACACAGAATACAAAGACTGAGCCAAAAACAATCAAGGGTTGCTGAAACAGTTTAAAATGAAATCAAACGTAAATACATGATGAGTCTGCTGGGAAATTAATAAAAATTACAATCCTGTGAACAGAGCACACCATGTGTAAAGCTTTTGTTAGAAAAGATAATTAATATACCTGAAGGTTAATTTTTTATGGACCACACGTACAGAGGCTGTTTTTGCTATCAGTGAGAGCAGGTGTTACCAGATCTAATACACAGACAGGGCTGTACTAAGAATAAAATAGCGGGAAACAGGCAGGGAAATTCCCTAGTCCCCAGACCCCGGGATCATTATCTTAAGCTTATGGAAAAATCTTTATGTTGTATTTAAATTTTGTAGGTGTCATCCACGCATAAAATCAAAATATTTCTCCACATTGTTTTCCAAAAGTGTTGTTATCTGCAAATTTAGATATTAATTAATTCAATAAGTGATCAACATTTTACATGGATTTGAAAATTTGACTTAAGTCTAAGTCTGTTTCATGATCCTGGGGCCTGGTCTTAGGGAAAACTCTGCATACCTGGTAAGCTATACAGACACCTGGCATCAAAGGACCACACAATGCTCCCCTACATGATACAGAATCAAGACCCCCAGACATACACACAATCTAATGTTAGTTACTTCACAGACTATTGTGTCAGGACTTTGATTCATTTAACAGGTTTAAGAGTTGAAAACATGGTAAAAGGTGTTAAAAGGGAGCTGTTAAAAGCCTAAAACAATCAAGCATGGCAATTTCTTCACGTGTAACATCTACCTTAGCCAATCGCATCAGTCAGGAATCCTGCGACACTGATGTTACGAGCCTCATTAATAGCCTGTCACGGACTTCTCTGAAGATTTTCTTTGATGTTTAATTACTGCAGCATCTAATTTTCAAGCTAATTATCCACTAAATGCTAATTAAGCCTTCCTCTGGTCGTACTTAAGTTTAACACACCCTAACAAATCGTTCCTCCTATGTATATTTCATGCAATCTTTATTACTAATTATCAGGAAAACTAATTAAGCATTAATAGCCTGAAGAAAAAGTAACTGAACCCGCTACTTTGAACATAGATTATTTGCTGAACATTATGATGTATGATTTCATGTTCATGCTTATAATTCATAAGGGATAATTACTATTTTCGCCTCCCCATCTTACAATACTAATCAGGATACGAAACTATATAGCATGAACATTTATTATGACATATCCCTTTTGCAATATGGCATATAACATTCAAATACTGTCATGTCTCCCAATTTAACATTTTCAGATGGTGTCCACACAGCATTAACAACTTCATAAATCATTAATTATGACCTTGAACTTTTACATTAAAATCAATTATCTTAATCTTCCTGGCTACTATACTACGACTATTAAGCCAGCTGAAGCAATTACATGTTTGGAATTTATGTGCTGACTTTGGTGTCTGTGCAGACCACCATGATCATACAGAGGCCTATATTCAATTTTCGCCATCCAGAATTAAAAAAAAATTCACCCCGTCTATATACAGTCAAACCTTGTTTTCTCAAACTCCATGGGACGAGAAAAAAATTCGAGATATCCGAGGATTAGAGATATTAAGGTTAAAATACTCAAAGAATTAGTGGTTGAGAATAAGAAATCATTTCGACTTATCCATGGTATTCTAGATATTGATGTTCGAGATACCAGAGTTAAACTGTACTTTGTCAGGATTGTCCTTAAGAACTGAAATAGCAGGGGACATTAAAATGGCCAAGTGTCTGGGGTTCAACCCCTAGCATGGGGTTGAGGAGGAATGCCAGAATAAGCATGTGACAATGAAAATCCCTTTATTCAGGACCCAGGGACTTATGAACAATCCTGCTTTGTACTGTATCATTTCACTTAAATGACTTAATGGAGGTGATCTGTCTCATTTTTTAACCATTATTATGTACTTTTTAACCTTTGATCTTTTATCTGAAAATCAAACACTTTCAAGTGCTTTAAAGATACAATGACTTTTATAAACTGTTTTCCACTAAACTACTGTCCCAGGCTGTTTATGTTTCAAAGACTGCTGAATAATTTATGTGACAGAAAATTTATCAAAAGATGTTACAATATTGTATGATCAAAGTTTTCTGCTCTCTACTTACTGCCTAGAGGTGTGAATGAGATTTGAACCTGGAACCTACAGAATACAAACCAAGTGTCCTACCGCTAATCCACCACGGCCAGTAACTCATACAGTATGAAAAAGCTATCCAACAAGTTAGGCATTGCTCGAGATTTTAAATGAATCCACTTTTATTTCACTATTTCTCATCTACCCTTGGAACAAGATGTGCCTTTTTATTTTGATTAATTTGTTTTCCCTTCATCCAAGGATGCTTTGTGGCAAGTTTGGTAGAAATTGGCCCAGTGACTCTTTAAGAGTGAAAAAGTGGAACATTAGCACTGTTTATTGTTTATAAGTGTCCCATGGCAAAGTGGAAGGCAGTTATTAAGCAGTTTCTTAGCCTTAACAGTTTGAATATTTAAGCAGTCCTAGAGCAGTTACTTAACCTTCCCCAGATTGCTAATGTTTATTTTGCAATGTTTTATAAGTGTGTCTTTCTTAGCAGTTTACTTTAGACACACTTCCAGTGCTTATCTAGTTTCATATTAATGAGTCACGAAGATATGCAATATAATAGATCAGTTGTTACATTTTAATTTATTGTATTTTGTACATTTGTATAACTACACAATCAAGCAATCAGAAATTGCTATGATGAATGTTTAAAAATTTTTAAACACTGTTTTATGCCTGTGTTACATTGCAGTATTACTCACTGACTTTTTAGAAAACTTATATATCCCAGGGCATATAATTAACTCAACAATATTCATCACTGAAGGTAAATTAAAATGTCAAAATTAAGTAACAGCTATAAATGTCCACTTCATCCTACATTAAGTCCTGGTTATACAGCAGTCCTATTGCACTTGATATTGTTGGGTTTTTCTATCCTTATATAAACCACAAAAGTATTTCAATTGGCACTCTCTTGGTATCAATCATAATTGCTCAGGTTTATAGATCATCCATTGATCTCAGTTGTTTTTTCTTGAAAGAGACACAAAAATTTGTGTATGCAAACTAGAGTCTTGTCCCACTCCTCTTCTAAAAGTCTGTAAATGGAAAGGAATTAATTATGAAACAAATTGTAATTAATATATGCCATATTAAAACAAAATTAGAACAGAACATGTGTTCAATTTATCTCTTTATTAAAGGCCACATATATATTGTATAACTTACCAAAAGTTAAATGACTACATCATTTTTTCAATAAATCTAAAGCTTATGGCCAGCAGGCTCCCTCTTCATTGGTTTGTATACCTTTGTCCAACAATACAAACTGGCAAGAATAATTTTGGCGGTCAGTTGTGGGTTCCTGTTGTTTATATTTGTGGAACATTGAGCCCAACATTAAATT